TATATGAAGTACGATATAATATGTTTTGGGGAGGCTTCCATCACTCTTGCACTTCTTAAATCTGTCGGATATGATATGTTTTGGGGAAGTTGTAGCTTCTGTTCTAATTCATGGAAGCCGCAGCCCTCAGAGTGTGGTAGTAGATGGGGCTGCCAAAGCCCCATCTTCGTTAAAACAAACGCACTCTTGGGGAAATTTCTCTAAATTCCCATATTCTCAAGGGTACGTAATTTGTAGGATTGCAGCTTTACCTTGCCCCACTTCAAATATTGCTTAAAATATGTAGTTTTTGGCTCTAAGAAACCTTCAAATCAATCATTCAGATCTCAACAAACATGAACTTGAAAATCAAAAAATAAAAATTTCAAGCCCTAAAAAAAAAAAAAATCAATTATACCGTCCGAAACCATCTATTTCAAGTGTTCACAAATCCCTCAAATCTGCACACCGAATATTCAAATTTCACAATCAGAGGTGAAAATGGATTTGAAAAGCCACCACTACAATTCTCCACACCGGAATTGCACTTTCCAACTAGTTTTGAAATGCGGCTTTACCAAATTTTGAAATGCTCAGGCCCCACGAAAAACCACACCCAATTCACAACGAAACCGAAACTTTGCGGAAATTTCGCTGGTTCACAAGCATTTCCCTTCCCCTGTTCAAAATGAAACCGAAACTTTGCGGAAATTTCGTTGGTTACATTCTCCACTAGGGTTTTCCATTACTGGAAGGGAAAGGAATCTGACATGCACCCACCGCCTTTGACAACTTGACGGAGCTGAGTGAGTGAATGAGGTCCCCAAAGTCTTAGATTCGAATTTTGGCGGGACACCCAAATGTGCCCACATGCCAACCACCTTCTGGGCCCCTCCCACCAACACTTATACTTACTATTTTTTATATGAAAATTCATTTTTTTATAGTGCCACCCCAAACATGGGTGCATTATTAATGAAGTGCTTGTGATTAGTATTTGGTTTTGGGTGGAAATAGCAAAAACGTCTAAAAAAAGGGTTTTACAATGAGAAGGTGGGTGGAGTGAAGGTTTACACTATATTCATGGTTTTGTGTTGGTGACAACCAATCACCACTTTCTGACGTGGACACAACTTGGACCAATCCTGTGATGAGGAAGACCGACGTGGCTCAAGTTAGCCCTCACTTCGTGTCCATCCACCATCTATGACCGACTAATCTGATGAAGTGGACTCCTTTAATGGTGTTTGAAAAATTATTGTTCGATAAAATAAATGTTTTAAATTATGGACCGGTAGTTGTCTGGGGCGTTCGGCTATCCAAGTTGGATTGTTGATTTTAAGATTGGCTTGCAAATTTCATCCTTACGAAATCCCATAAAGATAAAATAAAAAAACCTGAACGAAAAAAAAAAAAAAAATACCCCGATACTCGTGTATTTACTACAATGAACAGCCTTGATTTTGTTAATTTAAGGTGATTACCAAAGGACCACCCAAGTATGAAAATAGATTCAGGGCAATTTTGAGTTGGCTCATCAATTTTTGAAAGGCCATACAAAGTGTTTGGCCTTAAAATATTAGTAAGTTTTTTTTGGTAGAATTTTGTAATTTTCCATTCAAACTTTGGGAATTATACTTTCAATATCTTTTTTTTTTTTTTGACAAACAGTACTTAAACTTTATTATGTAATAATTCGTAAAGACACATTATTTAAATCGATATAGCAGAAACAACTAAAGAATCCAATATAACTCTTTTTTTAGCCAAATCATCTACAATGTCATTAGCCTCATGATAAATATAGTTAAAACTAACCATCATATGCCAAGAAGTTAGATCCATTATTCTTTATCGAATGTCTCACAAATTCCAAAGAGACCTACTTGTGCTTTCAACATCAGCTTGTCTCATGGTGGTCGTAGACACCTTTATCATAGTCATGACTAATTCCTTCTTAAAGCCTTGTTCGTTGATTACTAAATTTAGGGAATTGTTGGATCTAGTGAGAGAAACTGCTCAATTTAATGGCCAAAGTAGCGAGTATTTCGCCTAAAATTTGAGTTTCTTTTGAATGAGCAAAAAGAAATTGCACTAGTTTGATGGTCATGATTTTGGCAGTTTTTATTTTCTCTCAGAACATCAAAACTCATATGAATGATTTTTGGGAGTTTCTATTTTATTATTAGTGATTTTAAAAGTTGCGCATTAAAATTTGATGAAAATTTGGAAAAAATTCAAACTATTAAACATTCAAAAGATTTTGAAAACATCATAAAAATAATTTCTTCATCTTATAATCATATCACGATATTTAATAAAGGAAAGTGGAGATGTTTTTAAGCTAAATTTGGGGTTATGGGTGGATTTCAATGTTGCATAGGCAACCAAATATGTGGAAAGAGAGAGAAATCGTTTAGTCTGATCCATTAATCGATCACTCTATTTTAGTTCTGCGTATACATAAAAAAACAATAGAATTGACGGTTTTATGTAGTAAAACAATAATCCAGACCAACAATTCCCTCATTTGGTTTTTGGATGGTTCCCTGATCTGGTTTTTCCTCATCTGGTTTTTGGATGGTTCCCTGATCTGGTTTTAGGATGGGTCACTATACTGACATATACCATCTCTCGACAACCAAAAAAACGATGACTTACAAACAAGGGAGAGAAACAAGTAAAAGGTTTACAAACAAGAGATAAAAAAGAAGGCTTACAAACAGAGAGATAAAAAACAAGGCTTACAAACAGAGAGATAAAAAACAAGGCTTACAAACAAGAGAGAGAGGATAGAGATAAAGAGGGCTTTCAAATAAGAGAGAGAGCATAGAGATAAAGAGGGCTTCCAAACAAGAGAGAGAGCATAGAGATAAAGAGGGCTTCCAAACAAGAGAGAGAGCATAGAGATAAAGAGGGCTTCCAAACAAGAGAGAGAGCATAGAGATAAAGAGGGTTTCCAAACAAAAGAGAGAGGATAGAGATAAAGAGGGCTTCCAAACAAGAGAGAGAGGATAGAGATAAAGAGGACTTCCAAACAAGAGAGAGAAGATAGAGATAGAGAGGGCTTCCAAACAAGAGAGAGAAGATAGAGATAAAGAGGGCTTCCAAACAAGAGAGAGAAGATAGAGATAAAGAAGAAACGAGATAAAGGACTACAAACAAGAGAGAGAAGATAGAGATCAAGAAGACTTACAAACAAGAGCGCGAAGATAGAGGTAAAGAAGACTTACAAACAAGAGAGAGAAGATAGAGGTAAAGAAGACTAGAGAGAAACAAGTAAAAGGTTTACTAACAAGAGAGGGAAACAAGTAAAAGGTTTACAAACAAGAGAGGGAAACAAGTAAAAGGTTTACAAACAAGAGAGAGGAACAAAAGGTTTACAAACAAGAGAGGGAAACAAGTAAAAGGTTTACAAACAAGAGAGGGAAACAAGTAAAATGTTTACAAACAAGAGAGGGAAACAAGTAAAAGGTTTACAAACAAGAGAGGGACACAAGTAAAAGGTTTACAAACAAGAGAGAGAAACAAGTAAAAGGTTTACAAGCAAGAGAGAGAAACAAGT